TATTTAACATATTCATGCTCACATTTGCTTTCAATTGATAAAGAAGAGTTAATTCAGGTATTCAATAATAAAATATGTTGGCTTCTAAATTAACAAGAAAATCAGTTCAAGTGAAAGATGATGAACTGGAGAACTTTTTGTTCACATAAATGACTTAATGTGAGTTCAATGTCCTATTTTAGGAGATCTAAGGACACTGCAATAAATGTTTTCTTTTGTTGTTGTTCTTTTCTTTTCTTTTCTTTTTTGCCAAAGCCCATCACCCCCCCCACCCAAATTCAATAACAATACAAGCAGGGTGTCAAAACAGGTGCCTAGAAAGTATTTTAAGTTAAACCTTGAGAAAACTCAAAATATACCTTTTCTATATGAAAGTTCCCAGATGGAATAATCAAATTTACCTATGTATGTTCCTGTTAATTTGGCTTACTGTATCTTCCCCAAAAAGTAATTAATTTCAATGATGCCTCAGAGAAGTAATGAATTAAATGAGTGAACACTTTTGAATAATAAGAAATTGATCTATAAGGAGTAATTTGTTAATAAAGCCTTACCTAAAATTATAAACAAGATAAACCCTAATTAAATCAGAATTCATAGGAAACTTATTGTTTACTTTTAATACTTGTTGTATGTAAGTGGGTAACATTTAGATGATATGGTAAAGCACTTAGAGTATATAGTCTCCCGTGTGTGTTATTATTGATGTAGACTAAAATAGGATAGAGTCAATTTTAAAAGATGAAAGGAGAATAGCCACGTAATAAAAGAAATATGGTATATTGGGAATAGAAATGTCCCTGAATTTTCATAAAACCCTCTCAGATCCTAGCTTTTCCTCCTTTAGGTTTCCTCTTTGCTTTATTTTAATTTACTATATTAAATAAGAGTTTAAATGTGAGATTTGGGATGAGCAGTTAATTTCTCAGCCTTAATATTTTTCTTGAAATTATCAGTATGGTAGGTTTGTAAAACCAAGAGCCATATCATGTAGTGGTTAGTAGCATAGTCTTTAGAGCCAGGGGGCCTGGGTTCAAACCACGGAATCTTCCGCATACAGACTGGTAACCGTGGTAACCTTGTCTCCGCAAAGTTATCCTCGGTGGAGAGCCACTGCTCAACAATTCTTCCGGATCAATCTTCCTGGAGTACGTTCAGTTGATAGCGTTCACTGCTGAAAAACTTTCAGCGGCTTCCTGTATCGTGTTGAAAAATATTCTCACCCCTCTAACTCTGGCCTCCACTGTGTTTCCTATTGTATTCCTTATTCTCTTACATATCTTCTCTATAATTTAGACTGGCTGATTTATGAGAAACTCTTCAGGTAGATAAATGGACAGATAAGTAGATAGATAGATAGATAGATAGATAGATAGGATGATAGATAAATGGCAGCTTGACCTCATTTTAGAAGTAAATAACAGTGAATTTCACTTTATGAAACTTAACTCTTTCAACCAAATGGGATCTGTTATTTTTGTCAGCATCTACATGCAAGTCCAAAGTTTATAAGGTTGGGCTTTTAAACCTTATAATGTTCAATTATTTAAATTAAATTTATTGGGATGACACTGGTTAGCAAGATTATATAGGTTTCAAGTGTATAATTCTATGGTACATCATCTGAACATTGCATTATGTGCCCACCCCCCAAAATGAAATCTTCTTCTATCACCATAGAGTTGGCCCCCTTTATCTCTTATTCTTCTCCACTTCCCTTCCCTCCGGTAACCACCATACTATTGTTAGTGTCCACAAGTTTTCGTTTGTTTGCTTTATTGTTTGTTCATTTGTTGCTTTCAATTTTATATCCCACATATGAGTGAAACCATATGGTTGTTAATATTTTCTGACTTGTTTCGCTGAGCATGATATTCTCAAGATCTATCCACTTTGTCGCAAATGGCAGAATTTCATCTTTCCTTATAACTGAGTAGTATTCCATTGTATGTATGTACCACATCTTCGTTATCCAATCATTTATCAAAGGACAATTTGGTTGTTTCCAAATGGCCACCAAGACATTTTTGTTACTTATCAGTTTGTTTATTGGGTTTCTAATTGACAAGCTTTTTTGGAACCCTCCAGAGGGTAAAGGAAGATACATGCAATAATGAGACGCATGAGCTCGGGAGATCTAATATGTTAACACGAGGGCACACTTGGTGATGAACGCATGCTACACATTAGACAAGTCAACATTATTTATTTTATTCAATGTATTGGAGTGGCATTGGTTAATAAGCTTAACCTATACATGATCTGTATATTGCACTGTGTGCCCATCACACCCAAAGTCATGTTCAATTTTTATATTCTATAAATTTGATTTTGGAAAACCCCATTACAATATGAACAAAATATCCACATATATTTAATATTTTAAAAAATAACTTTAAACATCTCTGATCATGCAAGAGTTATTGACTGAGGCAGGAATGGCTTTCTGGGCATGTGGGTAGGGTGTGACCTTGTAGTTGCTCAAGGACACTGTCAGCAGGACCCTGTGTTCGGTTTAATGCTCTGCTACTGCTATCTTGAAATTCTTAATTGTTTTATTTTTTATTTTATGTTTTGCAAGTGCAGTCCCCTGAGCAGAGGCCGCAGGGGGCAGCTGGGCACACACACAGGGCCAGGCCTGCAGGCACAGGGCCAGGCCTGCAGGCACAGGAGGCAGTGCAAAGCCAGCAGTTGGCCAGGCAGCAGGCTCGCACAGGCTGTGTGTCCCCAGCGCCACCAATGTGTGTCCCCAGCGCCACCAATGGCAATGGCAGCTGCAGCAGGAGTAGTGGCCGCCAAGGAGATAGGGGGAGCTCCCCCGAGGCAGACTTGGAGAGATCCCACGGTGAGAGGCCAGCTGCCTGTCACTCCCAGGAGCCTATTCCTGAAGTCTCTACACAGATATTAAATGTTCTGCCCAAGTTCCAAGGCTGTGTCTGCGGAGCGCAGGAAATAAACTCTGCCAATAAATTATTACCAACTAGAGAATACACATGGACATTGCAAGAAAGCATTTGAGGGAGTTATTAGAATTCTTTGTTGCTTACAATGCCCAGTTTTGAAAACATCTGCAACATTGCAAAGCAAATATCCACCAGCCTAGAAATACAGATTAAATTCAAAGATCATCACATTTGATGGAACATAACACTATTTTCATGTGAAGCTGTAAATGAGCTAATTATTAACAAGGAAGATAATTTTTTAAATTAAACTCTTTCTTGTAATTGAAAATAAGGGAAAATAATACGTAAACAGGAATTTTGGGTTGTATACAAATCATAAAGCTACTTTTGGTTTCCTGTATGACCTCAACCAGTTACCAGAAATGTTAGAGAAAATATTAAAATACCATTGAGACATTTATATCAAATTCAGTATAAAGGCAGTAGAAAGGATGCAGTTGTTCTGTATCTTGAATGTGTTGATTAATACATAGACCTACACAGACAATAAAATTGCATAACACTAAGTACACACACAAATGAGTACATGTAAATTATTAAAATGTGGATGAGATCACTGGACTGTATCCATGTTAATTTCCTGACTGTGACATTATATTATAGATGTAACCATTGGGGAAAACTGGTGAAGGGTACATCTTTATTATTTTTTATAATTAGCATTTTAAACTATAATTAACATACAAAGATTAATTTTTTAAAAATCACATTTACACATACATGAAACTGACTTGTATGAAGTGTTTTATCTTTGTAGATAAATTCTTCTATGAGAATAAGCTCCAGCGTACTAATAGTTATATGTTTATAAATAATTTATCCCAATGTTATTGCAGCCTACAGAATGCTCTTAATAACTCCAGAAAAAGTTGCATCAACAAAAAGATCTGTCTTGAAATTAAAAAAAGCATCAAGAATTATTTGTGATCTTATTAGCCAAAAGCAACTGATGCCACTTTCAATTTTATCATTAAAAATGAAATTACTAATTAAATGAATTTTGATACCTAGGAATTGACTTTGAAGAAAATAAACCAGAAAAAGTGTGTGATCAATCAAGATATCACAATAATACAGTATCATTATTTATTGTATGATATATAATCATACCACAATATTATTTTTTAAATGTGTACCTTTATGTTGTTACTAATCAGTCACTATTACCCCGTTAAGATTTGTAATAATATATTTTAAAGGAAAAATATTTATATATTTTATCTTTAACAATGGTTATTTTTTCTGAGTTCTGAACTAAAACGTCCAAACTTTCAGTTTATAGTGGGCTTCGTAAATTATGTAAGTCCGGGCCTAGGGAATTTGATGCAAATTAAACAAAAAATAATAATTTTATCAAAGGGTAGATAAGGTATATTGAACAGCTTATTTTTGGAGAGTTGAGCTTGGAATAAACTTTTGAAATGACATCATAAACTGCATCTAATAACTAATCTAAGAAGTCATCTTTTTTTTCCCCAGAGATTTGCCAAGATATTATTTGCTTATTTTAATCTATTTTAGTATTTTTTAAAAAGCCAATGAGATTTATCATCAACCCTGACATTTGTAGGGAAATCTTTCCATTTATCAGACCTGTATTTCAAAATGCTTACTTTTTTTATTTAAGAAATGTAAGATTAAGGACTTCACAAATATAAGAAATATAAGATTAAGGACTTCAGAAAGGCCAGATTTCCTGGAAACTTTGAAGTGAGCTCATCAGCATTCATCCTTGGCATTTTTATGTGATGCCCACACCATTGTCCCAAAGTGATTTTAGTTTTAAAAACAACAAACCTAAAACTGAATAGGAAGGCATGTCTAACAGTGGACTGTGTCTAATTCATAGTGCCAGGCAGGCTTGGAAAACCATCAAGTCTGTCTATGAGCCATTAGGAGAGACACCTGTGCAAATGCTGCGTTCCCAGGTGTCTCCACGCTCAGTGACTGGAATACTCCCGTGTAAGACCATGCTCACGGTTTATTCTGCTCTCCGGCTGGCTCAGTCCATGTTCTCTTTCTCCTCTGTTCCAGAATGACTCTTGGGGAAAGCAGTATTCCTATGCGCTCTTCAAGGCCATGAGCCACATGCTGTGCATCGGGTACGGCGCGCAGGCCCCCGTCAGCATGTCGGACCTGTGGATCACCATGCTGAGCATGATCGTGGGGGCCACCTGCTACGCCATGTTTGTGGGCCACGCCACGGCTTTAATCCAGTCTCTGGATTCCTCCAGGCGGCAGTACCAAGAGAAGGTAATGTGTTTTCTCTCTAATATCTCCAACCAGCTATTTTGTAAATTTAACTAATAGCATTCAAGATAACTAAACCATCTCTTCTATTAAACGTGTAATGAGATAAAATGTTTAAAGCAGGAAAACACAATCTGTTTCGATATTTTGAGGTTTTGTCAAGATGGTCCTGATAGCTTTCGTTTCCAATTTCTCTCTTGAATGATAATTTAAAAAAAAAATACTCTGAATTTTCACTCACAGGAAAAATAGTTACATGTTTCAAAATGTCTGAAGCTGCCCTAACTGGTTTGGCTCAGTGGATAGAGTGTCGGCCTAGGGACTAAAGGGTCCCAGGTTCAATTCAGGTCAAGGGCATGTACCTTGGTTGTGGGCATATCCCCAGTGGGGGGTGTGCAGGAGGCAGCTGATGTTTCTCTCTCATCGATGTTTCTAAATCTCTATCCCTCTCCCTTCCTCTCTGTAAAAAATCAATAAAATGTATTTTTTAAAAAGTCTGAAGCTGATTTAAGGTATTATCAAGGTTCATGTTCCTCAGTTAAAATAATAGAAAGCCTTCTCTAGTATATGTTAGAAAATGTTAGCTGATTAAATGGGGACAGGCGTCCATTGCCTGTGTCCCTCTGTGCTCTGTGTGTTAGCATCGTAGTTCATATTACAATCCGTATGCTTAGCTCAACATATGTTGCCCTTGTGTCTAGATAAGTCATCACACTCTCAGTCTTAAACATGCATATTAACAGCTGCTATCATGCATTCATATACACCATGTGTTAATTAAAATGTTTGCCGCTCAAAATTTCCCAAAAGAGAGAGTAAAAGTAGATATATGCAATTCTTTATTCTAGGATTTTTTTTTCGTGTGCTGAACAACTTTGGCTGAGGCTAGACCTTGGACCATCAGACAGTTCTTACATTCCTGACTAAACATAAGTAATGCTCTGAAAGATAAATAAGAATATTTCATCACTGAAGGAATAATTTACTCTATAGGGGCTCTGTTGAACCTGAGAATATATAGTATACACCTTGCCAAAGAGCATTTCTGAAAGTAACAGTTCAAATAGTTCTAGAACACTACTTTGGTGAGAGATCACGGCTTAGACTTCTAATTCCTTACAAAATAGCCAAAGGTCATTTCCGTTTCATTTGTGGAAGTTTTTAACACTGTACTCATGCCATGGGAGAAAGGGAACCTAGGTACTTTATTTCTCTTGAAGGAAATTACATGGCCACCCACTGTTATAAAAGCAAGTGGTATTTTATTACTAAAGAAATGAAAAAAATGAACCATCAGAATTGCTTTGAGGTTCATTTTAATACAAAGCCTCCAATTAAATTGTAAAGAACAAAGCTCATAGTGATGGACAAGAGAATGAATTCAACTGTGACTTTGACTAAAAATTGAACCTTAAAGGAATTGGGGCTAAATTTATGGGGATTTAAGATAAGACTGAAACACAGTATATGTTTCTATTAAGCTCTTTCTTTTTCCCTTCTGGTTGATATTGCTTTTCATAAAAATGCTCTTTTCCTACCTCCTTTTTGTTCACAACATTACAACTATTTTCTCAAATACAAATGAGGCTCCAAATCCCAGGATGGCATTATTACCATTATATTGCATATTAAGTGGACTCACCATTTCTGTGTGTTTAGATCAACTATATGAACCAGGTATAACTTAGAAACCTAATTCATTCAATGATGTAATCATAGACATTCACAAAGAAAGCTATTATGATGTTTGCCATAATTTAAATCATCAAGTTTTGGTTTTTAATTAAATGTATTGGGGTGATGTGGGTTAATAGGATTATATGGGCTTCAGGTGTATAATTCTATGACACATCATTGTGTGCCCAACACCCAAAATCAAATCTTCTTCCATCAGCACATATTTGACTCTGTTTAACTTTTTACCTCTTCATCTTACAAGTGCTTAATAGAGGGCAAGCACACTGGGAGTGGAATTTCTGGGTCATATCATTATTCTAAGTTTAACTTTTTTAAGAACCTCTTATTTTGTAGTTATCATAATCATCTGCCATGAATGCCTAATCAATTAATATTGATATTATTTTCACTGCCATATATTCATTAGTAACATTTTTTATGTAAAAGAAGCAAGCTCCAATGAATACCTTTTATAGTAGCCATTCAGAATGCGCTGGTGTTCAGCTCACCTAATTCTGGCTCCAGAGTTCACTCTGAGGTTTAAATTGGTAAGCCATCAATCCTTAGTCTTTCCTTGTAAATGAAGGACTATAATCAGGACTATCACATGCATTTCTTATTCTGTAGAAATCATTTTTTAAAATCAGTCTAATCTTCCAAATGTGTAAAAGCTAGTGGTAAAACCAGAGACAAAGGCTGGCACCAAGCCCTGCTCTCCTTTTCAATCCACTCAAGTCCTGTTTGCAATAAAGCACACTTCAGGCCATTGCAAATCAAGTGATTATGGTTAGTATACTTGTTTCCCCCGTAATAAGACCTTCAGGGATAATTTGGGTGGACATGGAGTGGTCCCAAATCAACTTTTAAACTCTCTATTTTCTAGCCAGACAATTACAATTATTGTTCTCTCAACAAACCAAATGCTTCTGACCTGGCCCTCCTTTCTTCCTAACCCCTTCCATGCTTGTACCCCCTTCACTGTTTACATAGGTTTTGTTACTGGACTAAAAGGGTCTATTTTCCTTACACACATCAAAGCCCAATCAGACAGGAACAAAAGTTTGCAGCAAAGAAGAGTTTATTAGTTGAGGAGGTGGCCCACACTAAAGACACAGGTGAGCTAATGCTCAAAGACCTGGCTCCCAGACGGATTCCAGGGGATGCATTATACTGGGGGGCGGGGGGCATCAGTCATGGTGACTAAGGGAGTTAGGATCATGGTTTCTACTGATTGGTTGGCGCTGCAATAGGGGGTCATCGGTCATTACATCTGGTTTTGACATCAGCCTGTTGTTGCTTCATCTGGTCTCCTCGATTTTCTGGGCCTGGAGCTGAAACACAACTGAGGCCTAGATATTGTCTCTAGTTTGACTGAAACTGTCTGGGATCAACAGACCCTGGGCTTTGTTCCTGTGACTGTCTGATGCGGATCAGAACCTCATTGTCCCGAGGGCTTAATGATTAAGGGAGTGAATGTGCAAGGGAGAAGGAGGCAGGTGAGTCAGGTGCTGAATGAGGCCAGCTTCAATCAAAAGGAGAGAAAGGAGAAAAGGTCACATTGAAGAGATGATGTTTTTGTGTGTTTCTGTTGTGTCCTTCTCTCTGGAAGGCTGTGACGTCTTCCCTGGTTATTCCAACCCATAGTAATCTGTTGGTTGTGTGTATTCTATCTGTCCAAGGGAGAAAAAGCATCATGGTGGCCAGATCTGTGTCTCTGCTGATGTGAATTTCAGCCCCATACATAGCAACCTCAGTACAGTGATGCTGAGGATACAATAGTACTCACATGGGACCCTGAGGAATAAGAGTGATTACAGGTGTCCAGCCTTTATTCTAGCATAAATGAGAAGAAGGGGGTCATAATTTGCATTTTTCTGAATGCTGTCACTTGAGTATACATGACAGCATCTCTTAAAATATATATTATGTATTTTATTGAGGCATATGTAAATACTAGAGGCCCGGTGCACAGATTCGTGCACTGGTGGGGTCCCTCGCCCTGGCCTGCAGGGATTGGGCTGAAACTGGCTCTCCAACATCCCCTGAGAGGTCCCAAATTGCGAGAGGGTGGTTCTCAGGTGACATATGCTGGAATCGGGCTCCCTTCTCTCTGGTTCTGGGTGCTTCACCCAAGAACCGCTGCTGCCAAGTGACTGCATTTAGGCAGCTCCTGCATTGAGTGTCTGCCCCCTGGTGGTGATGGTGCATCAGATCTCCTGGCCAGTTGGCCAGTCGGCCAGTGGGCAGGTTGGCCAGTTGTTTAGGCTTTTATATATATAGATATTGTAAACATGTTGCCTCAGGTTTTACAGCAATTGATGGCAGGTGTAGGTATACATGTGTTTGACATAAACACATCACTTTAGAAACTAAATTTTCAATATGCTTTCCCCTCTGGAATTCTGGCCTTGATTTTCCTGTAAGTAAGAGGTGTGTTATTATCTAAGTGTCTTTCATCGGGGTGAAGAGATTTCTTAGTTGCTGGGTTGATCAGGAGCATGTGTGTCTTTAGGCCGTGATGGATCCACTGTCTCAAAAAGGTGGATGGGGGAGCAGGTTGCTGCCCTCATGTAATTGAGTCTTTAATTTTAAAAAATATATTTTATCAGAGTAATGGTAAAGCAAAGAGGAAACATCTGGAGTGATGGTCACAATGGTTTATAAATAATCCTATTATTCAGTTAAAAAGACAGAAGCAACAGTCACCGCCTCTTTTGCAACCTTTCTTCATTATATCAAGAAATTTAGCTAGTTGAGCTGCTAATTTGGCTTATTGATTTGGAGGCTCTGATAGTATTTGTCTTCAGAGGACAAAGGGGCTTTGATGTTATATTGATCTTGACCTTTGAAAATCATATCGACCGGGAGCTTAAATGAAAAAGAGCTTGGTACCTCATTTTCATGGGCAACATTGTTAGGGGGAAGACTCAGCTCTAAATCCATGTGCATTCAGCAAACTGTTTCCCTTGCTTTTCTTTATTATTCGCAAAAGCGTCTTTCCTTCCTTTACAAATGAGAATGCCGCCAGCACAACTCCCACATGGCTCCTTAATTAGTTGGAAAGATTTCCGATTCTGCTATACCATATCCTTTTTCTTCCTGGGAGCTGAATTTATCCCACTCAGAGTGCCAGCTAGTGCCACCAAACGTTCTCTGGCAGGAAGATCCTAGGACAGGGGCTGTCTGTGGGGTTCTCTCCTAGGGAAACAGTGGTGCGGTAGCCCTGGAGTTAGCATCATGTGGCCACTTGAGTTGCTAGCAAATTAGGCTCCTGGCAGAATAATGACAGTTTATATTCTCAGCTGGGCACTTGTTTTTATATTAAGTAAGTACTGTTATAGAGAGAGTCACAAGTAAAGAGAGGGAGTTTGAAGATGTTA